TGCTAAGGAGTAGGTGGCTTGAAAGCTGCTTTAAGTTCCAGTGGACCCTCTGTAGCATTCTATTGCGATGACTTGCTAGGGCTTCCTATCACCTGAGACAAACTCTTGCTTGGAGTGGCTGGTACAATAAGTACGGTTGCCTGCTGAGGGTGTAAGGATCTGCTGGATAGATAGGTAAATAATCTTTTATTAAATCATGGTAAAATTCATCAACTTTAAAAAAAAACAATTGAATTGTTTTTTAAAGCTGAGCAGTAAATTTTACAGTCTAAGTACCAAGTCATGTGACAGTTTCTCCAGATGGTGATTTTAGGGTTGCCAATAACAACCATGGACCTAGGTGTCTCTTTTTTTTTTAATCACTAAGCCTTCTGTGGGCAAATCTGGTATCTGTTTACAGTTTCAACAATCTTATGTCTGGTATGGTAGTCATGTGTCATCTTTTCCCAGTAGATTTTCTCTCCAGCACACTTGGTCAGAGTCAGTTGGTTTGCACATGGTTGGGAGCAGTTTATTTGGATACCACTAGAACACTGTTGTTTTTTGTTTGTGAACCATTCTCAGCTGTGAGGAGAGAACCAATTGGAAAGTATTCCTGTACGACAGAAGTGCCAAGCACTCATCATCACCCTTGTTCAGCTTAATGCCTTTATTGTCTCACAGCTCAGGAGATACAGTAACATGTATTGCAATTTGACTGTGTGTAGAGTGAAGTTGACATGACATGTTGGAATCCCCAGAGTTATATAAGCTGTTTGAATTTTACTGAACTGAATCAAGGTCCACTGTCTATGAATGGTGTTGCGGATACCATGCCTACTGAACTCTTTTCATTTTCAGGATGGTCTTAGCCTGGGTTGTCAAATTTAAAAGTAGCTGGCTACCAGTGAAATTCACCACCTACATCTACTCTGCTGGCCGGCTGTTTGTCTGATTCTTTAGAACAATATGGAGAAATCAGCCGTCTACAACAAAACCAGGGCCTCCTAGCTCAAAGCTTTGTGACAACCCTGGTCTCAGTGGTTCGGGAATTTTCCAGGCATATCCTGACATTACGCGAGTGGTAGCCTATCACAAGGTGGTGGGTTTGTTCCCATTGTGCTCAGGAAATTTATCTGCTGCAACCTTGCTCCATTGTCATTCATTAAAGGCTGGACTCATAATGGGTTTTGAAGGTTCTTTCAGTTTAATATATTGACCACATGTTGCAGTTTCACACCAGTTCTTCATGATGTCACTTTACATCCCTGATTACCAAACAGAAAAATCTACATTTCCAGCCTTCAAACAAAGGAAAGACTTTTCTTGAGTTTCAAGTTAATCCCTTCTCACACTAGGCTATTTTCATCTGTTTATGTTCTTTTCCCTTCCTCTCTTACTCTGCGGGTTCCAGCAAAGAGAATAATAGAAAGATAGTGATGGTGTTAATGAATGCATCAGCTCATATGGTAATGCTGAGCCTGTGAGTTATCTACTCAGCAGGGGAGCATATTGGTTTCTTTTTCCTCGTGCTGTTAAAGACCAGTTTTCTTCTCCAATTATTATTGCAGTTACTTTTTACACACTCAATGGCTGCAGCTGCACTAAGAGAGTTAACTGGGTTTATTTTTTAGAAACCTGATTATAAATTCTAAACAACTTAACTCAGTTAAAGGTTGGTTATAATAAAATAACTGGGTTATATTTTATGAGCGGCCGCACTGAAATGGGTTATGAAGTGGGTTAAACTCAATTAACGTCCTGAGATAAACCAACAAAATGGCAGACTTCGAGGACCCTGTTCAGTCTGTCGTTATATTCTCGATTCTTTTTCTTTGTTTTCGTTTCCTTTCTCTCCACTCATGGCTAAGGCAGTCCCTCTTC